CCGGACCCCACCAATTACAAAAAAGGCGCCTTGAAAAAACGGACCGGGGGGACGATTGCTACGGGATTTGGAGTATAGGCCCCATTTGGGGGGTTTCTGCGCCAAGTTCGGCCGCGGATTCACCGGGATTGCGCCGGATCGGGCGGGATCGAGCTGGAGTATAAGCCGGACGTCGGACCAGGGCACAGTCAGACTTTGACCTCCCAGGGGGTGCCTCCGAAGCAGAGGAAGGGGCCGCGAACACCCGTGGCAGCTCCCATGGCCCCGATCAACATGCCCCCCCTGGCCCTCAGCCCCTCGTCTACGCCAAGCGGTCGTCGGCTCATTACGCCGGCCTCCGGCGGCCGGCGGGGGGGGGGGCGATCCGGGCCACGCCCGAGGAGCTCTGGGCGAGGCGCAGCTGCCGGGAAGCCCCCCACGGAAGGACGACCTGCAAGAGCCAACGACAGCTTCTCGTCCCCTTTCCCGCTCCGGCGTCGGAAGCGTCACGCTGGCCACGGCATCCACGCGCCCCTGCTCCTCACGCCCCTCGTGGACGCGCCCGAGCGCAGTGGTGAGGGGCAACGCCAGGGAGGGACCAGCTCGGGGGGGGAGGGAAAACCGACCTGGCATCGGCGAGGTACATCGCCGATGGATTGGCGAGGGGCCCCCGAGAGCGAATCCGCGCGTTCATGGACGGGATCGGCTAGTAGACCCCTATCGGCGATCAATGGGCGACTGTGGGTCGATGCCCCCCCCCATGAGCCCATTCTGGGTCCCGAAACCGTGTGATCATAGACCGCGCGGCGACCTTGGAATCCCTGAAGACCTTACCGCACGGTCCGTCACCACACGGTGTTGGGACACTGCAGGGACCGATCGCCCGAGACCTGCTCTTTAGAGCCCACCGGATCACCAAACCGTGCGGTGACCCCGAATCCCTACCGACTCACCACACGTTGTGGTCACCACGCGGTTTGGTGGCCCCTGGGCCCGCAATCCTCCCCCAGCGCTGCCCCTGAGGTTGCCGCCAGGCCTTTGTGCCCGCGCGGCCGGGCGGCGCGCCGACCACGTTCGGGTTGCCAGCGAGCCCTGCGCGGCCTGGGCTCTGTGGCAAAAGGTCCTGTAGCCACAGCCAGCCCGGTTGCGTGAGCGGCGGATGGCAGCCGCAGTGGCGCGGCCTCATGGGGGAGAGATGGGGGTGGAGGGGGAGAGGGGAGGAGTAAAGAGGGAGGAGGAGGAGGAGGAGGAGGAGGAGGAGGAGGAGGAGGAGGCATCTCCGACGACATGAGCCTCTCCATCCGGCGCTGCTCTTCGAAGGGGTCCCGCTCGCCGGGCCCCTGGTTAACATCAGAGTAGATCTGGATCAAGACAGCTGGGCCCGTGGAAGGGGTCGGGATCTCCGGGCCGCGCGCTGAGAAAACTCCTCTCGGCGGACGTCAGGGAGGAGGAGGAGGAGGAGGAGGAGGAGGAGGAGGAGGAGGGGGAGGAGGAGGAGGGGGAGGAGGAGGCGGAGGAGGAGGAGGAGAAGCAGGAGGAGGAGGAGGCGGAGGAGGAAGAGGAGCAGGAGGAGGAGGAGGAGCAGGAGGAGGAGAAGGGGAGGAGAGGGCGGGGAGCAGGAGGAGGACGAGGAGGAGGAGCAGGAGGAGGAGAG